TTAAAAATGTGACTATACCAGTCATGTATTTATATGTAGGTCTCGCCGTAATGGCTGGCATGTGCGAATTAAATGAACTTCATGGTCAAAATGCCATCTTGCTGAGGTATTCATACATCATATACATTTCAAAAGAAATATTTATTCATTTTAATATATTTCAATTCACTTGTAGAGTACAATAAATTCATTTTAGTTTTTAATTTTTTTAAATAGTACAGGGTTAAAATATTTTTTGGTTAATGGCCAAAGCATTAAAATAATCATCATCAGCAATATTGCCAGGTTCAGTACTGGTACATCCTAATAAACTAATAAAAACACAGAAGAAAAAAAAAGAAACTGTGCAACTAATTTTAATTACAAATTCCAACAGCATTAAGTCTGTATTAAAGTAGTATATCAAATAATCGTGCGTGCCATGAAGTGAAAATGATGCCAAAAATGTAAGTGAAATACTTGAAGGCTACATGACATTGTTTTCATTTAATTGATTTTTTTATATCAGTATTTAACTGTTTTTTAAATGAAGGAGCTTCTTTAATAGCATATTCATTTTTGCTTTGGTGTCTATCGTGAAATTTTACTTGATATTGGTGTCAACATCTCAGATTTTAGTATTGTGAAAGTGTTACTTACAAAGAATTACTTTTTTTATAGCTCTTAATTCTTTTGAAAGCTATGTCTGTTTCTCTCAGGCGTAAATTTAATATGCTCCCTCCTAGAAGTAAAGAAATGGTCCCAGCAAACATTTAACTAATGTTTGTCTCTATTTAGACCAGACATGTAAGAACTGACAGTTTGCTGTGAAATTTTTCTGAGAGCGCTCACAATAAGACAGTGACCTGATAGAGTCGTCTTCCTATGTTGTTCACTTTTGCAAAATAGCAAGCATATTTTTTTTCCCTTTTACATCAATGTAAGACTTGCAAAGGATTTTCTTGGTCCCATCTGATGAATGACTGCTTCATTATCAATTGCAGGGGAAAAGGCTAAAAGATAAAATCCTGCTTTAATCATACTCCCATTTATTGTGCATGTTGAAGTAATCCAATAATGCAGCGCTCTCGAACTAGGCGGAAATTATCATTATCTTTTAGGCGGCATTGATCTGGGTCTCCCATGAGAGATGTTGCATGAAATAGTGGCAGAGGTGAATCAGTTACGTTGATGTATCGAAGGCTAAATGATCATCGAGGGACTTCAGCCATGTAGTGTGATTAGGCTGTTTTTAGGCTATTGATTTTTTTCTTTAACACTCGTTTCTGTAAATGCATGTTCATTTCAAATTTGATCTGCAACAGCAAACATTGCTTGTTTTTACTTTTAAATGCAAATGTTACATTTAGAAGTAACCGGCCTACAACCCATGGCCTGGTCTCTAACATTTACCCAATCATATGACCCAGTCCAGTGGCAGGGATCCGCTGCATCAGGTCGACTGTTTCTCTTCACTAAAGAGCTCCTGCCTATCTAGAACCAGCTACTACACTTTCCATTACCATCAAAGGCAGAATAACCTCCAATTAATGTAAGTGGAAATGTAAATTCAGAGTAGATCCATTTGGTCTGATGATAAAACTCAGAGCAGTGAGTGGTTAGAAATTGCCATGGTCTAGTATTTTTCTGAGCATCCATCTCGTGCAGTTTAAGCTTGGCATTCATCTTGTGCAAATTAAGCTTTAATTGCTATCACATTTTACTACGAAGGCTTAAATAATCTTTGAAAATAGGGTCATTTGCTAAATGTGGCGTGTCATTTAGAATAGACAAATTACTGTGCTTTGTCAGTAGGGTTTGTAATATTATCAAAAATGCTTTACTCCAAATCTTGACCGTCTGTTTTTGAAATGATCTTGATTTTACACCCCAATGTTATGTAAAATGCATATAATGCAGAACAATTCGCTACAGGTCACCAAGTTGCTGTAATGTTGGTCGCTAGTGAATATGTGATGCTTGACTGCAGTATGTGACTTTGTGGCATTGTTACAGGTGCTCATGTTTCCACAAATCCCAGTTTGCTTGCTTAGTGTTTAGTAAAAGTGCAGTAGGTGCTTTTATTCAGGCATACCTGGCATACATGTAGTAGTACACGGTTTGTAATACAGAAGTGGGACATACTGCCATGTTATAAAATTTAATCTTGCAATTAAATTTGTTCATCTTCAGAACACAAATTAAGATTTTTTTGGATGAAATTCGAGAGCTTTCTGACCCTCCATAGACAGCACCGTAACTACCACGTTCAAGAAACATAGTAAAAACATAGGAAGAACATCGTTAAAGTAGTCCATGTGACATCAGTGGTTCAACCTTAATTTTATGAATCTGCGAGAAGAGAAGAAATTGTTGAATAAAGTCATTTTTGTTTTCTTCGCGCACAAAAAGTATTCTCGCAGCTTCATAAAATTAAGGCTGAACCACTGATGTCTCATGGACTATAAAATATTTTTGGCCAGACAAAATCTGCACACAGGCTGAATGTAAATATAACTCTCTGTAAATCCACTCTCTGACACTAGGTGGCACTTATGGAACAGCAGAATTACAGCTGTTTCCCGTAACCTCCATGGACAAAGCAGAACTGCAATTAAGAACACTACTTTTAGTAATTAGGTAGGCTATTACATGGAGCGAAGATGAAACCAAAATGCCATTGAATCTTTTCTGAAGAGGTACATTCATATAATTAATTAATTCATATATTCTTTTGTATAATTACCTTAGCGCTCTTTTAAAACCTCACAGCTTTCTGCCATGTTTTCACTCAGAATGAAACTACTCTGCGTGCTGTGCGCATGTGAGACTGTTATTTAAACTTTGCTTTATGCTGGATAGTATTTACTTATCCTGAGTTGTTCAAATTGCGGTAATCGAATACGGTTTTAATGATAGTTAAAATAAGAAATGGTAATACTAACCGTGGGGAATTTTATCATGATTTATCATCAAACCTGTAATCGTTCCATCTCTACAACTTTATTATTATAATTTTTTTACAGAGTAAAAACTCACTTCAATAAATATATTTCCACCCAACTTTGGCTTACTACTTTCAATTCACTAATACATTTTATCTTGCATACTAAACGATGGATAGCATAAAAATGGGAAAACGACATATGAAAGTCAATATCCCAAGGCAGGTATTTTCAGTCATGCAAATATATCAAATCGGGAATAAAATTCGACAACAATTTTATCAAAAAGTATACTACTTTAGCTCAAATCACACACACACAACTTTTTTCAGGCTGGTCTAGCTAACGCTTAACTAAATATACCTGTTGAAGTTGGATAGTTCATGTCACTTTGAAACCGCACCCTCTTGTCGCTGGTATTTTTCTATAGGGAAGTCAAACTCCATCAGGCGAAACAGACGTGTTGAGACATTGGCCTTAGCTCCCTCTCTCAAGTAGGCCACGCGTGGCCGAGGGACCAATGGCAGCCATTTTTCAAGAAGACTTTCTGTTAGCAAATGGGAGCCAGCACTGCAAGGATAGCCGAAGTAAACATGTTTATCTACGCTGAGCTCCTGAGCGTTCCCCTCAAACTGGCCATCTTTAAACAGTTTGTATATCTGACAGTGGGGGGAGAATGTGGTTCCAAGATGAGGTACTGCACTGAACAACCACATTATGTTTGCAGCAGCGCTGGAAGTGATTACCAGTGTAGTTCATTATTCAGTTAGGTAGGAGGGGGGGGGGTAGAGCATGAAGGCCCAAACCATTTAGTGGTCAGAAAGGGGAGGCTTTTTTTCCTCTCTCATCAGTCTGTGAGTCTGTTCTGCAGTGTCAGCATTCAGCACACAAACACGGAATTCAGTAAAAGCTCCCTCCACTCCCAAGCTGTCGGGAGGGTGGGGGAAGAGGTGGAGTGGCACACGGAGTAACGGGGAAAGTCTCTAAGAATGAAAGTCCTCGGAGGTGTTGCGTGTTGGACATCCTTGGCGTTTCATGTGAAGTTGGGAAGAGAATAAAACTTTTTCAGGAGGAAATTGCATTCTTATGGTTTATGACCCCAGTTTATGGGGTGATTTGGAGTAGTTGCCAAAACTCAGAGCTGGTAACCGGAAAGTTGCTGGTTCGAGCCTTCTAAAGTCAACATGATATAAAAATTGACAATTTACTTTCTTAATACATGTTCCTTACATTCCTCACTGGCAGATTTTTTTAGTATCTTTAATAGTTTTATTATTATTTTGAATTAGTTTTTTTTCTGTTTTCATTTTCATTTTGTTGTGTTTTTGTAATTTGTTTTCTTTCTTTCTTTTTTGTAAATATGTCTATATAATTTATTTATTTATTATAATTTATTTATTTATTTATTTATTTTTTACAATTTTTATTTTAGTTTTAGTTATTTTAGATTTAAAATTAGAAATGTTGCTTTGGCAGTTAGTTGAAAAATTCTTTTAAGTAACTAAAAATTTGTTTTTATTGTATTTCTGTTCATGTTTATTTTATTTCAAGTAATTTTCTAATGTCTGCAGTTTAGCGCCATCTGCTTTCATTCAGAGCATCTCTCACATGTTCCGCCATGTGCTTCTCGTCCGCGCTTGTTTACGTCAGAGTGCGCACGCATCTTTCATGCAGCATACAGCGCTGTTGTGCATTTTGACCAGTTGATGGGAAAAGTATTCTTAAAATGCATTCAAAATTCGGAATAATTTGTAATATATAATTATTCACGGTATTTAGAAGTGCCCACGATAACAATATCGTGCATATTCATTACCGTGATATATCGCATTACCGAATACCGGCACAAGTCTAGTGCAGAGACAACTATGAAAAAGCCATTCACTGAATTCACCAAAGAGGGCAACCTCTTTAAAACTAAGCTCTATTTTTATGAATGGTTGGAAATGTTTTGGCTCAACCAGTGGCATGAACTGAAAATGATCCTACCACCGAACAACTGCATCACCTGATATCTCAGTGACAGACATCTGTTCTGTAGAGTGTAACCACAACTTTGTTTATCGTCACTTTCAGGATTCGCCCTAGTCTGCTCCAGGCTTCGGCTTGGAGGTCCCAACTGCCACCATTGATCCCAGCAGCTGGAGTGGCAGTGAAAGCTCTGCTGAGGATATTGAGAGGATGAGTGACTCGGCAGACAAGCCCATTGACAACGATGCTGAGGGGGTGTGGAGTCCTGACATAGAGCAGAGCTTCCAGGAGGCACTGGCCATCTACCCGCCCTGTGGACGCCGCAAAATTATCCTCTCGGATGAGGGCAAGATGTATGGTAAGAACTCGGCTCTGCCAAACTGTTCTCTACAGGATACGGCCAAAATCAGTTTATCTGTTTCTTTGGAAACGCAATCAACAGAAGTGAGAAAAATGAAAGGTGTTGCTATGATATGTAGGTATAATATGGCAAATAATAATACATTTTTCTAAAAAGTTGCAAGTGCTAAATCTCTTTAATGCTCATCTGAGGTTTTGTCCTAAGCACAACCATTGATCATGACAACTGGTCACTTAGGATCACTTGGTTTACAATTTTTGTTGCACTGGGCAGGCCCCCAGACATAGTGATATCTAGTTGGTCCAAAATCTTGCTCAATGGCTGTTTGTTAAATCAACAGGAAATCAATATTGACCCGGTTTCGTAATATATGTTCCTGGCCTTGTTGGCCGCAATTGAAGTCATTGAAAAAAGAAAAAAAAGAAAAAAAAATGAAGACAGACATAAATATTAGTATTATAATTTTACAGTAATGTAAAATTATTATTATTATTATATTTTAATTGTTTATTTTGCAGTGAAATTAATAATAATAATCATAATTATAAATATTATTATTATTTAGCCATATTGATATAATCACAAAGGTATGGCCAAATTGTTCCTTACAAACAAGCACAGCAAACCCATTTTTTTTTAAAATCTCATTTTAAATCACAATTGTAAGTTTTATGAGGAAAATTAAATTTTTCAAAAAATCTGCTTGTATCGTGCAGAACTAATGATTGGTATATTGTTAGAATAGAAGAGACATGTTTAGATATTTTATTTAATAGTGTCACATTTTAACACCACAAATTAATAATTATTGTCAGTATTGGACAAAATGTTATTATTGGTGCATGCATTGCTTCCTTTGTAATCTTTTATCAAATTGTATTAATACGTCACCAAGCCCAATTATTTTTCACTCCTTCAGCCACCTGACCACTTTTTAAGAACTAATCCATTACAGGTGGAAAAAATTAGATCCTAGATTTTTCCAGTTTCACATTCCATTATTAAAGTAAAATGGATTGCGAACACTATTTTCGTGTCAAGTATGTTGAAATATTTCATTTTTACTGTGGACAGAGATATTACTTGTTGCTGGTAACTTGCCACTTTGCATCTGGTTAAGACCTGTCGTCAATGTCACATGACAAAGTAACAACACGAATCCCCTACGATGTAGCCTCAGCTTTCAGGGCTCTTGGATCGTCCCAGAGCTGATCGCTGGAGGTGAGAAGTGAAACGGAGGGCTCTGAGGAATCACATGAGAGTGAAGTGGTGGAGAAGATGAGAGCCATTGTCAATCAGGAATCTCTGAAGTCTTGGCGGGCCTCTGCAGCAGGCTTCCCATTCGTTCACTTGTTGTTGAGTAGTGGGAGTGTAAGTAAAGCAGCATGAACTATTAGTCAGGAGCAGATGGTACTGCGGCTGTCACCAGCTGTGCCACCCCCTCCTCCTCCTCCTCTCCTGCTCCTGCCGTCCTCCCCCTTTCCTCCATTCCTGGCTGGGTGATGTCATGGAAAGGGAATATTTTCTTTCCGCGGTGTTGGAGTCCCTCACAGCTTGTCAGTGTCAAGTGAAAGCAGAAGGCCCTCAGGGCATTCGTTTGCAGCTGTCATGTGACCCCTCCGGCCAAATGAAATGGAAAGTTTAAGAGTGGCAGCAAAGCCTCTCAGCTGCCATTACAAAAAGCGTTTCGGGCCACACTGCCACCGAAACACCCTACACAGCCTTTGCTCTCAAACTCGCTCTCATTCACTCCCTCTGTTCAGGATTAAAACCTGAAAATAGGTTTGGCTGACCAGTTTTAAATGATCAAGTCCAAGTGCAAGATTCAGCAGTGCTCAGACTGATATAAAGAGGGTTTATTTTGTGGTTTTCTTCACAAGTTCATGCAGAAACTACAACTTAAAACCAGAGTTGACAACAAATAATTTACATTACAATTCAAAAGTTTGGAACCTTTAAAGAGGTCATATGATGCGATTTCAAGTTTTCCTTTCTCTTTGGAGTGTTACAAGCTGATTGTGCATAGATAAGATCCCTGAACTTGCAAAGACTAAAGTCTCAAAACCAAAGAGATATTCTTTATCAAAGTTAAGACTCTGCACCCCTCCGGCCAAATGAAATGGAAAGTTTAAGAGTGGCAGCAAAGCCTCTCAGCTGCCATTACAAAAAGCGTTTCGGGCCACACTGCCACCGAAACACCCTATACAGCCTCTGCTCTCAAACTCGCTCTCATTCACTCCCTCTGTTCAGGATTAAAGCCTGAAAATAGGTTTGGCTGACCAGTTTTAAATGATCAAGTCCAAGTGCAAGATTCAGCAGTGCTCAGACTGATATAAAGAGGGTTTATTTTGTGGTTTTCTTCACAAGTTCATGCAGAAACTACAACTTAAAACCAGAGTTGACAACAAATAATTTACATTACAATTCAAAAGTTTGGAATCTTTAAGACTTTCAATGAATTATCTTATGCTCTCAAAGGCCCTAACCCTAACCCCTAAAAAGACCCTAACTTATTTCTGTGATGATGGCAAATCTGTATTACCTGTCAGAAATCATTCTAATATGCTGATTTAATTCTCAAGAAGTATTTTTCTTATTATTAATTAAAAATGATTTTGCTTCTTAATATTTTGAGGAGTATAAAAACAGTATTTACGTATTTGACCATTTAAATAATTAAAATATATCTTATACAAAGTTTTTTGTTGTTGCATTAGCAGATTTGTCACTGCTTTTAGCATAAACCATGTATTTTTTCAAGGTTTATGCTTGAAACTCTTAATGGAACTTCAAACATATAACTTTCCAGATACTTCTTTAAAAAGGAGTCATTGTGCCTCCCACATAAATTAATATTGTTTTAAATGTATGTATTTTTAGTGGAAAAAAAGATACGGATTAAGAACAGGAGTTTTTGCATTAGTGAACAGAATTTTGTACAGTAGCACAAACAGTCCTGAATTTTCTATTACCATTTGCTGTATATCATTTGTACAGAAGAAGTAATATGTGAGCCAATATAGATCAAACAGGAAATCGTAATGACAAAATCACCTGACCGCGTAACCAGTAGAGAGCTGGTGTGCAGTGCTGGGGTTGCTGACCTGTCTGAGAGTGCAGAGATTGACCAGAGGTCAGCTTTAGCAGCTGTTCAGGGTATCCAGTTGCATGTTTACTCAACAGCGATGTCCATCATAGCCTCAGGAGTAATGTTTCACAGTCCTCCAGACAACAGGAAAGCAGCACAGTGTCACGGGCCACATTGTTACACATGTAATGCGTATTACAAGCAGATGATCGCATACTGTAGACAAATCAGATATGTAAACAAATGACTGCCAGCAAAGTTTAGACTTGTTGCTATGAAAGCATGATTCCGTTATTCCTGAAATGAAGACCCCATGATTGTTTGTTTGGTTGTTTTGTAATCTGTTACAGAAAAGTGAAGTTATTGGAAGAAAAGACAAGTAATAGAGCAAATAGGAGGCTGTATGTGGCAATCAGGGTGAGGATAGAGAGAAAGACTGCAGCCGGATGTTCTAATTCAGCATAAAATAGCAAATGGTTCCTGCAGACAGGAACTGGCTCTAGAAAAGGTATGCAAAATTCCACTTAAGCCAAAGAGACAGTCTGGATGAGAGGCCTTTCCTTCATCCTACACCATGTTCTAGCAAAGTAATACAAATGATGCTTAAAGGGATAGTTCACTCAAAAACACAAATTCTGTCATTAATTACTCACCCTCATGTCGTTCCAAAACCGTGAGACCTTCGTTCATCTTCAGAACACAAATTTATTTGAAACCCAAATAAATCCGAGAGCTTTCTTACCCTCCTTAGACAGCAATGTACCTGAAATGTCCCCAGGCCCAGAAACAGAGTAAGGACATCGATAAAATAGTCCATGTGACATCAGTGGTTCAACCATAATTTTATGAAGCTACGAGAATACAGTTTGTGCACAAAGAAAACAAAAATAATGACTTTATTCAACGATTCTCGTAGCTTTGGAAAATTACGGTTTAACCACTGATGTCATATGGACTATTTTACAGATGTCCTTACTCTGTTTTTCGGCCTGGAAACATTTCAGGTACATTGCTGTCAATGGAGGGTCAGAAAGCTCTCGGATTTCATCAAAAATATTTGAATTTGTATTCTGAAGATGAACGAAGGTCTTATTGGTTTGTAACGACAGGGTGAGTACTTAGTGACAGGATTTTCATTTTTGGGTGAACTATCCCTTTAAGACAAAACATGAAAGAGGTTATCATTTGTAGTAGTCATCCAATATATTGACAGTTGGCATTTTTAATCTGATATTTTCTGTCTGGCCGTTGTGTCGGAAGCGGGACTTTTATTTTTACAGCGGTGAGAAAGCCAGCAGCATATCCATGCATAAATTAGCTAATTAATGTCAAAATTTCCCCATTTTGTAAATCATCACAATGAATGTCAAAACTTGTTATACAAAATAGAACTATACAATGATATAATGACAAATAATGATACCTTTACTATGTACAATAAATGTGTGCACTATATTTTCCGGAAAAGTCACACTGGGTTAAAATTGCATTGTTGAGAGAAAAAAAAAAACACAGATAAGTTGCATTGGTGTGCCACATATTATTGTTTAATTCAAAAATAAATAAAATGAAATGTTCACAGACACTATAAACATGTATTTTAGTCCCCCTCACTCCACAACAATCCTTTAAATTTAACTGTACACTGTAAAAAAAATCCACTAAAAATCCCTATTTCAACTTAAAAACTTAAGTTCAGTTGCTTCATTGAATTTTTGAGTATAATCAACTTGGTTGTACAAGTCATTTCAACTGAAATTACATTAAACTGACATACAAATTCAAGTTGAATTTCATATAAATTCTGAAAAAAAGTTGAAAATGCTAAATAGTTCATGTAAAAACATAAGTTGCCACGACTTGCTGATCATATAATTTTTTACAGTGTATTCAGAACAGAGCAGGAATGAAAAATG